AATTATCAAATATTAATTTATATATTTGGGTTTTATGAAGAGATATCACAGAAAATTAATTTAACATTCACTATTTATAATTAATATTTGTATTTAAAACATATACTTAAAAATATATATATAGTAGGAATTAGAGATGACCAGTTATTTATTTAGTCATATTTGAAAAAAACCTAGTAGTTAATGTTCTTAAATATAGCTATTCTCTATATATTTTTTTTATAGGTGTATATTATTTTATTTTATAAAATGTAAGTTAATTTAAATTTATGAATATTTGTTTATTTAATAATTTTATAATTTTTTTAATTTTTATGAGATTTTTCAAATTTTAGAGTTTTACAATTTTGAACTTTTTTAGAAAATCAGGGTTTATAAATATTCAGAGTTTATAAATATTTGGAGTTTATAGGTTTTCAGACTTTTTAGACTTTTAGACTTTTTATAAATTCATTTTTTTTTACCTGTACTGATCTAAAAATGCTCTGATTGTAAATTCTCTTCTATGATATCTAATTATGCTTTGATGTTCTCCATACTGTTTCTTAAGTAAAATTTTCCATTAGAGAACATTTTATAATAAAAAATAAACAAGCTAAGCATTTTAAAATTTATAATACCACATTAAAAAAATTACATAAATTCTTGAACTCTAAATATTCTTAAATAAAAAAATCAAATTTGTATTGTATTAATGAATAAATGATAATTTAAAAAAAAAATTTTATGATTTTAAAAAATATAAAATGAAAAAAATAATCATAAGATAAATTAAAAATTTGAGAAAAAAAAAAAAATTAAAACCACTAAAGTTAAAATAAAAAGTAAAACTTGATTTCTCCCTGAGGTTTTATTTAAATCATGGCATCTAATGGATCATTATAAATAAAAAAAGGATAAAAATATGATTGATGGATAATGTTTAAGATTAAAATATAACTGGCATATAAAAGTTTGACATTATATAATTTAATTAGATTTAATATAACACTAAAAGTTTCAAATTATTTGATCATTTTTGGAGAAACGAGAGAGTTTGCTTATGAGGATTTAATTTATTTAAGTAAATTTAATTTTTTTATTTTTTATAAATAATTTATTTACTTATAAAAATATGAATGATATTTAATTATATAAAATCAATAATAAAATCTATCTATCTATTTATATTTTAGGTTAAAAACACTTTTTCAAAATATTATTTAATAAAATATATAAAACTATTCAAACATTTTATATTTATTCATCCTTTTTTCACCAATTTTTAAATTAGAAATCAAAGACAACTAATCTTTTTGATTTAAGACACTTGCTTTTTAACTTGAGTTCTTATGATTCTTTCATTGAGCTAAACATTTTATAATAAATTTGTGTAAATTTTAAAATAAATATCAAAATAGAATAAACTTTTAAATTAAAAATTATTCTTTAAAATTAATTAATAAAATTATATTAGTGGAATAAAAAAGATAAAAAAATAAAATAAATAAAGCTATCAAATAAATTCAAAGAGCTTTTTTGTTTTATATTCATTTTTATAGTTGAAAATATCACAATCCAGAACAAATAAACTGT